GATGGCTTAACACAAAGATTGAGAAAAAAAAAAACTCTCACTGTGTGAAATAACATTTGAGCGTTCACAAATCATTTAAGTGAATGCCCTAAAGAGATGCACAATGCAGCCTCGCACACATGCATGTAGGTGCGTCGCAACATGGCGCCTTCAAATCTGACAACACATGACATGTACACTTTATGCTCGATTGCACCTTGGCTTAAGCAAATAGGAATTGTTACTTTGGGGAGTCCAATGACAGGCAAATGACAGAAGCCATTACAGCACTCAGTGTCAACCTTTTTACTCATGAAATGATAAATGGAGTACAGATTTCATCACTATGTAAAGGGCTCAGCGTCGTCACAAACAATCTACCTGAGGATCTCATAGCGGAGTCAAAGTTTCATCTGTTTTCTGATATATGAGAAGACAAGGTTGAAATGAAAGCTCTTATCAGGATCAAAATATCCTGCTGTTCCCTCCCTCCACTCCCTGCACCCCCCTGCCCCCATATGAGAACAGATATGTAGGGGAAAGTAATTAATCACAGGAATGTTTCGGATCATTTACATCTAGATGGGAAAACATAATTCAGCACACATATGTGCGCAATTTACATCTTAACGACATTGTGTGTGGCTTGTTTGCTCATCAGGCCCAACATCATTTTTTTTTTTATCTGCTTGATTATAATGTATGATTATAATGTATGATTTAAACCAGTCAGCAGCCCCTTCTGGTGATGATTTATTTAATCTCCCCACTCTTGCCATATAAGCAGATTCAGCTTCCTTCATGCAACTTTCCTCCCAGGATTAATAGGCATAAACTGTTTTGGGGCATCACTTAGCTGGGAACATTACAAGCAACAACTGAGTAAATATTACAACTTGTCTAAAGCTATGAAAAAAAAATATTAAGAACGAAATATTAAGAAGAATCACTGTTGGAGATGATGGCAGCAATTTGGGGTCACCAAGTTTCCAAATCTACAATTAGATCTCCATGCCAACGAATTATCTGCATGGAGTACCAGAAGAAAGCTTTTTCTTTCACAGAAGCTTCTGAAGTTCACTAAATGTTACTGGAGCTTTGATTGGAAATTTTGGTTCTGTGGGCAGATGAGACACAAGTGGCGCTTGATGACAAACACTCAAGATGGGTTCGAAATAAAAAGAAGAATGGTTACACAGTAAAGAACGTAATCCCTACTTTTTAGTATGCTGGAGCATCGGAGACATTGTGGAGCTCTTCCAAAGATCCCGAATACTGTGTTGTGTTAGGATAGATGATATCCATGTAATCCACATAGTAGTAGGAGATTTTAAATTGAAATCTGGCTGCCTCTGCCAAGAAGTTACAACTGGGTCATGGGTAGAACTTCCAGCAGGACAATGATCCAAAACATGCGACCAAATCCACAGAAATATGTCTCATGATCACAACATTTAACAAGGCCATCTCAGTCCCCTGAACTGAACCAATATATAAAATAAAAGAAAAAACATTTAAAAATTTTATTAAAAAAAACCTGTGAGGTGAGCTGAAGCGGAGAGTCAACAAGAGAGGACTGTGGAGGACTTGGAAAGATTGTCTATTGAGGAGAGATCTCAGATTCCTTGCCCTGTATTCACCGATCTCATTAGGAGAAGACTCAGTGCTGTTATGCTGGCGAAGGCAGGTTGCATAAAGTATTAACTGCAGGAGTGACATTTTTCTGATGAGGTTAAATTCTTCTCGTAGTTTCAGGGTGAGATTAAGCTAATTATCTACAATGACAATGTCTCATAACTTGTTTTACCCATCATTACCAAGGGTGCCAATAACTTTGGAGCTAAGTACCATCAAGAGCAGTCTAACAGGCAATAAGAGCAACAATTATACTGTATACCAGAGTGCTTGCATCATCAATAAAATAAATGTCTTATTTAATTATTTAAAAAGGCATAGTAAGAATACATTTTAACTTTTTTTTAATATATCTATATTAGTTTATGTAAATATGCCTTACTGGTTCAATATTTGGGTTGGGAAATACCCAGAAATACATTTTCTGCAACAGGACCCCGGCAAACCTCAATCAGAGGAAAATGTGCAACTCTGTAGTTTTAACAAGACTTTTATGACATGCAGAATAGAATCCTTTAAGTTCAAACACTTGAGAGAAAAGCATCTGCGCCAAATCTGGAACCGACTGTCCACTAAACCCACCCTAGAAAGTTAAATGTCACATGTCTGCCAGTTAGTAACTCCCATTTTTGTCATCCTTTGTCCTTTCGAGAATTGTGATCAGCATGCTGGCATTTACTTGAGGCGTTATATAAGAGTTATACAAAGCATTTTTTTTAGTCACTTGGCCTTTAGTGTGTAACAGAAGTGAGCTGCTAACATGTAATCGCTAACAGCATCAATTACTCTCAGTCTCTATGTGCTATGAGCAAAGGATGTGTATTATTTTATTCTCCCAGGCTGCATTGTCCATCATTCTGGCCATTTATGATCGTCTGAAGCTGAATGGCCAAGCACTGCACTACACACACACACACACACACACACAGTACGTGAGGGTGTGAGAGGCAAGGAAAGTGAAAGCACCACAGCTAACTCAGCAGAGTTTCTGTGACTGACACATGTAAGCCATGCTAAATTGATATGTGATGTGATGCCTTCTGGGATAATTACACATTGCTTTCTCTTCTCTCTGGTTTCAAAATGACTTCACAAGTCTCTGTTAACCTTCCCACCACTACAGAATCAGTTGAATATTCATTACAGACATCATAGGTTCTCACCCTTGTAGTTAGTTCTATGCATTTAATCTTGATTTATAGAATATTTTTAATAATAATAGTAATAATAATAATAATAGTAATAATAAAATAGTAACATGTAATCATAGTGGCTTTTTACCCTGGGGACTGGCAGCATACAGAGTGGCTATTTAAAATAAAAATAAGCACGCAGGGTGGTTTCTAGGTAGAAACACTACAAAATGCTATATTCATGCAACATTTTGCCCATAACGTGTGTATACCCATACTCTAAAGGGCACATGGGTGACAGTCTGTAGCCTAAGGTAACAGCACACCCTTGTGTGCATCAAATCACATTAGCGATATAGTTTGGACGTAACAGCTGAGATGAGACGCATGCTTTCAATTACATCATCTGACTTTTGTAAGCTGCTGTGCGCTGCACAAGCCCAGACATGGTGAATGCAGTTACGCCTGCAGTTACACATTCTTATGCTTCATGGAAGCATTGTTTAATATAAAGAACGCATAGATAGATAGAACCCATGTGCTGTCATTTCCTATTTGATGTACAAGTCAAATCATGTGATGTGAGATCCAGGCTTTTTAAACTTTATCTCTTTTATGCTCGTTTATGCTTTATATGTATAATGGAGCAAAAAGCGATAAATAACTCAAATACTCCTGACTACAATGTGGTAAGTTGGCTGACAGTTGTAGAAGAGCTATATGTTGTACATAAACTTGAGAATGCAACCTGTGCTGACTCTTTAAGGGCAATAAAATGAATTAAGCATTCTACATGAATCATTTTTTGAGGCATCTGCTGTTTAACAGTAGCAAAGCAAGGTATTAAAATATGTAAGCACAAGCCAAAATAATGCAATACACTGGCGTCTGGTGGTACTAGTCACTGCTGTATGGTATTAATGGAGATACTGATGGAATAATTCATAACCAAATATGAATACGTTATTCGGAATGAACAGAAAATGTGTTTTGAACATATACAGATACGAAAAGAAAGCTCACTATTCGTTGTTTTTTTTTTTGTTGTTTTAGATAGGGTGCCAACATGTTCAATATGGCATCGGGTTGAGATGCAACATAAAGAGACACGTGACACGTGAGAAATAATACCAACTAACTTATGGGAAAAGATCATGTGAAGGTACAAATAACAATAACAATAATAATAATAATAATAATAATAATAATAATAATAATAATAATAAAAAAGCACTAAATAGATAAATAGATAGAGTCTCTATGGGATAAATATTTGAAATATTTAAATGCAGAATGCTGCAATACTACAAAAGCAAATATTTTCCTTTTCTTTGCAAAGCTGATATCTGGCTATAAGTTTAAAATAAATAAATAAATAAATAAAACTATGAATAACCACAAAGCATATCACAAACCTGTTGGACGGCTGATGCCTTATCTGCAGCTAACAGGAAAATAACATTGCAGCTTTGACAAAAGTGTGCCAATCTCACTGTATTGTAAGAAAGATTATGCTTCGCCTGTTCACGCCCCCTAGCTAATTACCAGATGACCTCCGTTTTTGACTCAAATGATAAAATGCGCCTATTGCAATAGCAGCACACAAAGTTATAGAATTTCTGAGACCTCATATTCCCAGCGCTTTTTAACAGTATCACTGGGAATCATTCAGGTGTCTGGCACGTATTATGCCAAATATGAATTAAATGGACAAAATATAAAATAGAAAAGTGTAAACATTCATCACATATATTCAAAATGATAGAAAAATCAGTATTCAATGGTAAACCTCCTGGCAGTTGGCTGAATTCACACCAGTCATCTCTGGAACGATCAGCATTTGGTATATATGGGATTAAAAGATGCTCTGAGCAGATCCTCATGCATAAATCTGAGCACTAGAATACTTTTTGGTCCTACATCCTTTTCAATCTTTGTGACCTGCTATTCAATATATTATCATAAGACCCCAACTATTTGGTCAAATACATTTCTTTCCTTTAAGCAGACAAAGCTCCAGCAAATTGCTCTTTAGAAGCAGAAATTTAGACTGGCATATTTAGGTCTAAACAGATTTACCCTCTTTCACCTGCTCCTGTTCAGGGTCGCCACAGCAGATCACCTGTCCGCATTTTTATTTTATTTATTTATTTTTTTTTATTCTGGCACAAGTTTTACACCGGATGTCCTTCCTGATGCAACCCTCCCCATTTTCGGCACTGGTTCGTCCATCCCTCCAGTGGCTGGGGTGGGCTCCCTGACCGGGAATCAAACCCAGGCTGCGGTGGTGAGAGCGCCGCATGCCAACCACTGGTCCACCAGGGAACCATTTATGTTTAAAAAGATAATGTTTAGATATTGCAAACATAGGCAACCATTATTTTGACACCATTTTTACCTTGTCCTCCTTTTTTTTTTTTTTTT